TGCTATCCGAGGTGGCCGGCCAGAGTTGGCGATCCCTATATGGGCAGTCCGACTACGATGCCTGCCAACACGCGGTGGCCATGAGGCTGCGATAACAGACGCGTCTGCGTTCCCCCAAAGGGCGTCTTGCCTGCAAGTTCGCACCACGTCGGGCGAGGCCAGGCTCGTGGTATGCCCCTCGGTGCGGGGAGGCTCGAGTGGAATGCCTGCTAGAAGCGCGGTGATCATGACCAATGTGGGCGCAAACGAGCCCATGACCCACCCACTTCTCTGTGTTCGTCTCCCTTATCCATAAGTCCCTCCACCTTCCTCCCTAGTTCTTCCTACGCTGCATGTAACCGTATTTGACCTGTCGGCCGCCGTCGCAGAGAAAATTGCCAGCGCGGCGTCTGAGTGCCAGATTGTGCTTCGCTCCTGCTGTATACGTAGCTTCGCGCTGGGGCCATACGAGAACCGAACCTTATGCTCAACGAGGATGGCAAGGAGGAGCAGCAATTGTTTTCTGAAGTGACATTTGAAGCTGCCTGGGAGTGAGAGAGACATGCGGTCCTCTAACCTCGACCCCCAGAGGTCCGGACCCCTTCCCCGAGACCGGTTTTTCGTCCCGCGTCGTTTTTTGACGGTCCCGAGGCCCGGCGAAGGCGCCCAGAGGCTGAACGTAGCGAAAATCTCCCGTCGTGACTTCTTCACATCGCGAGGAGGTCTGGGTTGTGCGCGCCGCCAAATATAACCGTGGCTTTCTGCCGCTCCCCCAAGCTCGGGTGGTTCCGGACCTCCCAGAGGGCCCCTGCGGCGCTCTTGGACCGCCAGGGCTCTTCTGAAGAGGCTTGTCGTCGTCGTTGTCGTCGTCGGCGTCGTCGTCGCCGTCGCCGTCGTCGTCGCCGTCGCCGTCGTCGTTGTCGTCGTCGTCGTCGTCGTCGTTGTCGTGGGGCTTCCTCGGCGGGCCTCTCGGAGCGGTCGGGGCGGTCTTGCGCCGTCCCGTGGGCACTCTCTCGCCTGGCCGTGCTCTGGGGGCACACTTCGGCACAGCTTCTCTTGGGCCCTCCCGGGGTCGTGATGGGAGACCACCTGACGCACCCTCCCCGATGCAGACGCACGCGTGCCTATCCCTGCTCCCTCCTGCCTCCGCCCTACTTCCCTGCCCCCTCAGGGCTCGATTCGATTCCTCCGATTCGATTCGACTCGATTTCGATATGTTCCGATTCCGATTCGATTCGACTTCGGATTCGGAGTTGTGCTCCGATTTATCAATGAGTCCCCACTGCTCTGCCGATTTCCGCCGATAGGACTTCTGCCGACCTGGCCGCCGATGTCGGACGATCCGATCCATTTCGATCCCCGATCCGACTTCTCGAGCCGATTCTGGGCTCTCCTGCGCCTGCCTGACACCTCCTGCTCTCGGCGCCCTCCGCGCCGCAGCTCGCGCGGGGCGCGCTCTGGCGGGGGTGCGGCACCCCGACCCCGGACACGATGCCTCCCGCCGCCCTCCCCGACGTTCGGGCTGCAGCCGAGTGCGCCGAGCCCAGCCATGCCGCCGTTCGCCGACGACGACCCTCCCTCCCTCCCTGCTCCCCCCCTGCTCCCGACCGCCCCGTTGCCGTCTCCGACCTGTGGAGGTTTCCATGCAGAGGTCTTCCTTGGGTTCCCCGAGGTCCCCGGAGGCCTGCGGAGGCCACTGGAGGCTTCTGCATCGTTGCACGGAGGCCCGAAGTCAGCCGGAAGTGCCAGAAAGTTCCTGCATCACCAAACGTGTCAGTTTCAGAATTGAGCTCTCGCTTTGGCTCCGTGCACATTCGTCTTAAGAGCTAGTCTCGCACATTGGTTTCAAACGCTTGCAGCAGCTTCACGGATGGAGGATGGTTCGTGTTCAAAATGGGGTTATCGCTTGAGATTCCCTCGCATGTGATGACCCGATGTTCAACATTGTGCAACAGTTAGGGTAGCTCTTTTACAGCACGGGCGCTTGCTCCCGAGCTTTCCTTTAGGTGAGCCCTCGTTCTCAACGGAGCACTGCTGGTCTCCCTCCTCCTCATATTCCTCCTCCTCATCTTCCTCCTCCTCATCATCCTCCTCCTCTCCTCCTCCTCTCCTCCTCCTCCTCCTCCTCCTCCTCCTCCTTGATCCTCCTCCTCCTCCACCTCCTCCCCATCCTCCTCCTCCTCATCTTCCGCCTCCTCCTCCTCCTCCTCCTCTTCCTCCTCCTCCTCCTTCCTCCTCCCCCTCCTCCCCCTCCTCCTCCTCCTCCTCCTCCTCCTCCTCCTCCTCCTCCTCCTCCTCCTCAATGGGCAATGGACGACGGCCATGAGGAGGACTCGACCGATGTGATCAACCAAGTCATGAAGGATGTAGAGCGCAACATGTGGGAGAAAGCAGCTCGACACCGCAAATGTGAATAATTAGACCAAGGAGCAGACTTCACGAACGTCAGAAAGCAGATCAACAAGTTGAAGAAGGACGGCAAGTATCAGGACTAGAGGGCCCTGCTGGTTGCGGTATGCCGAGGTACTTGGACAGGAACCCGACGAGCAGCAGCTTTCGGTGCGGACGGCCTGTGCAAGTGCGGAGTGCTGGATACGGATTGCCACAGAAATATGGGAAACGTGCAGCCAGAAAAAACGATCACAAGGACTACGCAGCCACAGAGCACCTGGCAAAGCACGCCAAAGAAGGAGCAGAAGTTTTACCAGCGCTATGTCTACGAGGCATACCCCCTACGAGCTGGACAACACCGGCATAATGCACGACGGAGGACGACCTGCAGCTGACGCTGAGCTACGAGGCGAAGAACGCGATCAAGCTCAAGGGAGTAGGCGAACATCCACTATGCATATGCGGTGACGG